TCGCAAGTGGGAAAATCGGTTAAAATAAGACATTACCAATCAAAATGCCAGGTGTGTATTCCCAGTTTAATTGCTCTTTGCAACTTCAGGGGAGACTTTAGCTTCTGAAATTCCTTTTCCTTTACCATTACTTAGTTGCACAGATTGTTTCATTTAAAAATTAAATTTCAGCAGATATTTAAAAACCAAAGAATGGAAGAAATTCACTTGTGAAAGAAAATTTACTTTGCATTTTGCACTGGAAAATAGTGCCAGCATTTTAATGTCATTGCATTAAAAATCTATTACTTTGTATTAGAAGAGTGACTGAAATAATGCTGGAGACAAAAAGGGGGTGTTTAATGTTTGCCAAATGTGCCACCCAAAAATATTGCACTGTGGCAAAAGGATTATTTTAAGTTAAAAGCACTTCAAAAACAGCAAATGCAAGAAGGACATTCTAATCTTCCATTTTCTTCCTGAAAACAAGGAGATAAAAATTACCATGTGAAAGATGCCCTCTCTGTATCAGGAGAAAAGAAATGTTCTTCAGCAGGGAACTATAGAGATAATTCTGCACAAATATAGTCGGGAGTCATAGCTGAGAGAATTCTGTACAAAGAACACCTTGTTAAAAAGATTTTTATCTTCATCTAACCTTCCCATATGGTTTAGTTACTTTTCTACAATTGCCTCTCTTTGTTTAACTTAATATAAAAGCATTTAGATATTGCCATTTCTTATGAAGGCTCCCATGTCCAGTAAAATTTATATTAAATAAATTTGTATGCTCTTGTTTTGTTGATGTTTTATAGCAAATTACTTCTCAGGTCCAACTGGAGACCCTTACAGGTTCAGGTAAAATTTTACCTCCCTACAATGTGCACATTGTATGCATTAAATGTTGATTGTTGCAAGATCTTCAGTTAAACAAGGTTTTTCTTCCCCAGTCATCACAAAGTGATATTACCTCATAGGCTGAAGTTTATAGCTAATGCTATTGAAGTCTAGAATAAGTTTTGGTTTGTTAGAGAGAGTTGGGTGAAAAAAACAAGATTCTCAGAGAAGAGGAAGAAGGCAAGTTTGGGGTACATTTTTCAGACTTAAAATATAGCAGTAGCCCTCTCAGTTTTACTCAGAAGAAGTCATTTATTGATTATCGAGTATTTAAGGGAGAGTTAACACACTGAGAAGTCCGTATAAAGATTGGAACTGCACTCTAGGCTTACCTGTGGGAAAGCACAAATGCTCAATTGTCAATGCACTTGGGAAAGGGAACGAAGGAATATTTTCAAACAATCATTTTTAACATGTCACATATAAAAAACAAAATAGAATCTGTCAGCATCTTGTACTTTATTACATGCTGTGATTTAAAAAAATCCTTACTAATATATGCATATTTGCTACCGGTAATATTGTGCTGGGAGTAAAAGCCTGAAAATGAGAGCTCAGGGCAATATCCCAACTCCAGGCATATTTTAAAAGTAATAACGTCTAAAAATAAGCCATAATTATGTAATATTTCTTCTTGACAGTCTCATGCTTTGCTTACATTAGCTAAATTCTCACAAAAGTCCCACGAGTATTATCATCACCCCAGTTTTACAGATGAATAAAAGGAGGCAAGTTTACAAGGCCACACAGCTAACAATCCTTTCTTCCTGAATGGGAAAGTATAGTGTGTAGGGGCAGCAAAACTCCATCTCCACCCTCTTATGGCACTGGGTGGGCCCACAAGTTAAATTGACATAAAATAGATTAACAGGAAAAAGGCATACAAATTTAACATAAATGGTTCTAGGTATGGGAGCCTTCATAAGGAAATGACCCAAAGAAGCAGTTAGCATCAGTTATTTATGTAATGAATTGCACAAAGAATAGTAAACTGTGAAGACGTGCTAAGGCAAAGGTGCTTGGGCTAGGGTATTTAACCGGGGAGGGAAGTGACCAGATTTGTTCATATGTAATTTTCTTGGCCTCAACTTCCCGTGGTTGATAAGAATGTTGCCCTTTTTTTAATTTTTCTAGTATAAGGAGGACATTTTTCATATGGGAATTTCACCTACTGCTTTTAAGAAACAGAATGAAGATCCGAGCGATTTTTTTGCAACCGTTTTTTTTTTTTAAGTACCTTTAACTTAAATAGTTTATCTGCCAAAGTGGTATATTTTTAACTTCTTCAAGCTTTTTGTCTTTAAAATATAAGCTCTTACTAAAATTCTCAGTCGAAAGTATACCTTCAGATTGAAAGGGCACAGTAGCCAACGGGAGGGAAAAAAAATCAAAGGATTAAAAAGCGAAACTAATGTGTTCTCTCTCACATTTCGTCTTCAGGTCACTACCCAGAGAAGGGCGGAGCAGAGATTGTGGCAGCACCGCCCCATTGTCTCCGGTCCCTCCTTCAGTTTTCAATGAGGTCCGATAGCAGCATATAATTACCTGTGCTCCACACTAAGTAGTCACACTGTCTCTGACGACTCCTAGTAGCTGTAGCTATGTCTGGTCGTGGCAAAGGTGGTAAGGGTTTGGGTAAAGGAGGCGCAAAGCGCCACCGGAAAGTGCTTCGAGATAACATCCAGGGCATTACCAAGCCTGCTATTCGACGCCTGGCAAGGCGTGGCGGTGTCAAGCGCATCTCTGGTTTGATCTACGAGGAGACGCGTGGGGTCCTTAAAGTTTTCCTGGAGAACGTGATTCGGGACGCCGTCACTTACACCGAACACGCCAAGCGTAAGACAGTCACGGCCATGGATGTGGTCTATGCTCTCAAGCGCCAAGGGCGCACTCTCTATGGTTTCGGTGGCTGAGATCTTCCACTTGAACCTTCTTCCTAATGGCCCTTTTCAGGGCCGCCCATATGTTCTTGGAAAGAGCTGTATTCTGTTTTCAATGGCTTATAACTTTATTTGGCTGGTTTCTACAACTGTCTCGAGTCGGCTGGTCTTGCTGTATGCGCGGCTTCTGACTTGGGCCAATAGGAAAACAGCGTGGGCTCGCGTGTGGGTGGGGCCTGGAGCTAGCAGCCAGTAAGTGCATCAGAGGCCTCGCTAGAGTTCCTGGGCTCCTCTGGCGCTCTCCAGTGGGGCTAAGCGTCGGGTTCCCAGCCCTTTACAGCCGTGATGAAGCGCCTAGCTTGTTTTTCGTTTTGTACTGGTAAAGGAACTTGGCAGTATGTAGCTGGTTGCTCGCAAGTGGGAAAATCGGTTAAAATAAGACATTACCAATCAAAATGCCAGGTGTGTATTCCCAGTTTAATTGCTCTTTGCAACTTCAGGGGAGAATCGGCACTTTATCCTTTCCGGTCGCAGCTGGATTCTGTCCTATCATCCGTCTAACCCTCACCAACCGGCCCGGCGCTCTCCCTCACCCCCACATAGTATGGAGCCTGGCGTCATGATGAGAGACGTCACACACACACACCGGGTAGTCTCAGGTTTAAAGGTGTTTTGGCATTGCTGACTTCCCTCAGGCGGAGGGCTCTCCTTAGCAGGCCACCTAAGTAAGAGTTTGAAAATTCCCACTTCTGGACTAAGGGAGTCTGTTTTATAATTAAGGACTGAGTTCTTTCCCCCAGGTCCGAGTCCTGTGGCAGGATCTAACCTCGAAGTAGCTGTAAGGAAGAATATCCTTCCTCTAAGATAACACTGCTTCTCAGGTGGCTCTTGCATCTTCAGCGCCCCTCCTCTTCCCAGCCATCTTTTTCTGCCTTAAATTCCAAGATTGATCAATTTTTATTTTTTTTATGAAAAATTCAAACTGTACATGGTTATGAAAAGTTTAAAATTAATGTCCAAATTGAGAAGTCAGCCAACTGAATATTCAGCTTCTTTGATTTCATACTTGATAAATATATTGACAGGTGCTTCAGAAAAAAAATAATTTTGTTGCCTGGTTACTTTACTAACAAGCTTCTCCCAGACCCTGGAGGAGATACTGATTGCATAGGCAGTTGAAAGTGAGTTCAGATGAGAGGTCTGGACTAGAGATAAAATATTTAGGAGTCATCAGCATATAAATGAGACTAAATGAGATTGCTAAAAATTTAAGCACAATTTAGTGCAGCATTGTTTTTTGTAATGGCCAAGTAATGAGAACTGTAAACTTTCAGCACAAGGGACTGACTGGATAAAGTGTGATCCGTATTTATAAAATGGAATACGACACAGCACTACTAAAGAGCGTGAAAGCTGTACTGCGGTACGTACTCTCTGGTGTCCCTTGACTCAGTTCTTGGACGCCTTCTCTTTTCTTGGTGATCTCACCTAGTCTCATCGCTTATATGTTTTGTGTTCTCTAAAATGGTGTATGTTCAACAGGAGAGCACCAGGGCTTAGCCGTTAAGTGCCAGGTTAGCTTGTAGCAAAGCCAAAGGCTGTGACAGTGGCAGCTTCCAGTTATTTCTCATTACCAATGGTTGTTTCTTGGAGGGTGGCCTTAACCTCTCCAAATGCTAACAGATTTCTTCCACCCACTTCAAGCTTCACAAAGAAACATGTAATTTAGAAAAATAGTGTTTGCAATTTTAAATTATCTCCTTGCCCCTTCCCTAATTTCCAGACTCATATATACAACTGCATATTTGACTTATGTGCTTGAATATCTAATGAGCATCTCAAACGTCCGGAATAAATATCTTGACACACGAACACCAAGTGTGTTCTTCCTCTGATATGCCCTATCTCAAAAAATGGAATTCCATTCTGCCAGCAACTTGGGACAGGAACTGTATAATCCTGTTTGACCTTAGTTTCTCACAACTTTCATCCAGTCCACTCAGTTCTGTGTTCAAAATCAATCAGAATTCTTTTCACTACTTTCTTTGCTGCTTCTCTAGGGCAAGCCCCATCACCTTTTGTCTGGATGACCACAGTGGCCCTTAAACTAGTCTTCCTGCTTTCACTCTTAATCCTCCCACCCCTACAGTTTTTTCTCCATCAAGCACAAGAGTGATCTTTTAAAAGGTATCATGTCCACTGTCTGCTCATAACATTCTAGTGGCTTTCCATCATCTTAATAATAAAAGCCAGCATCGTTATCACACACAGCATACAAGTAAAGTGACCAACCATTCCAGTTTGTCTGACTCTGAGGGGTTTCTCAGGGTGTAGGACTTTCAGTACTAGAACTTAGAAAGTCCCAGGCAAACCAGGATGAATTGGTCAACCTACCTAGAAGGCCCTACCGGAGTTGTCCCTTAGCTAGCCTCTGACCTCATTCTCTATCACATTCCTTTTTCTTCACTGACTTCCTTGCTGTTTCTGGAATGGACAGAGCATTTCCAGCCTCATAGCCTTTGCACTTACTTTTTTTTTCTCCCTAGAAGTGTCTTATCCTGGATATCTGCATGGCTTTAGACCTCATTTCACTCAGGCTTCTGTTCAAGTATCCATCTTATGAAAGAGACATCACCGTACCACCCTTTGTAAAATAACACTCTTTTCTGCTCATTTAGCATTTATAGTTGATAAAATATGGTCAAATAGCATACATACATACATACATAAAATCCCCCAGCTATAATGATATTTTTTTAAAATTTTTTGTTTGATCTGTCTCCCCTAACTAAAATACAATTTCTTGAAAGTAGGGACTTGGTATTGTCCCTGAAGTATCTCTAGATCCCTAGTATCCCTGGAATAGAGCTGACACCTAATAGGTAGTTTATGGAGGTTTGTTGAATGAATGCATACATGAATCTTCTACACAAGTCCCCAGGCCCCCCACTAGGACCACCAGAGTACTGACAATAAATTCCCCATCTCTGATTTCTTGACCCGTCACCCCCTGAAGCAATCAGCACAGCAGTTTCTCTTGATCTGAGGAATGATGCAGGGGTTGCAAATTAAGCAGCATTATATTTGTCCGGAACTAGGACTGCCTGAGTGTTAGGATTGAGGAAGGCCCAGGGTGGTGGATAGTATTCCTAAAATGAGTATGATCTATCAGCAATGCTATGAACTGAAAAGGTCAGGCAGACCATAACAGAAGCCAGTTATGGCTATTGTTACAGCAACTATAACTCCCATAGGGAATCTGCATCCACACGCCTATTTACATTGACTCTGGTTATCAGAAGAGAGAATTCTAATTTGCTCACTGATGGAACCCAATGTCTACAAGACTATCTGGAACATTACATGAGGTCAGTAAATAGCTCTTGAAGCATACCAGCTAAGGAAGACATAAAATGACCACTCTCCACACCAGGCTCATTTTTGCTCCTCTGACTCCTTAATTCCTGAAACCATCCAGGATGCAGCTATGAATTCTCTCCATTCAGTTTTAAATTTAGCTGAGCTAGGTACTTTTGTCATCTCCCAAGAAATCCTGGGCAATAATTGTCAGGTGGAAAACAGGACCCAAAAATCAAAGAGATACAGCCATGACTGAAGTTAACATACTGAAGTTGAACTCAGTCTTCCATAAATATGATACCAGAAGAGCCCAATGACAGAGGCATTTGTGAATATCTATTCAGATCAGATGTTTCCCTATTAGCCACTTCCAAGTGAGTTCACATCCCTTTTCCAGCTGAGTTCTGAAGTCTGATGTACTAATTGAAGACATGAATGGCTCAGGAACATCCTTTAAATCTCTGTGGCTACAATGACTGACTTGACAAAGCCCACACTTCAAATCTAGCAGAAGGCCTTCATAGACCGACAGTGCCCACTGTCTTAACAACTTCATTTCATGCCACCCTTTTGCCTTCCCTCCCCCGTATATAAAATCATCTTTATTAAGATATATTTTACATACCATAAAATTTACCCACTTTAAGTGTATAATTCAATTAATTTTAGTGTATTTACTTAGTTGTGCAACCATCACCACAATCTAATTTTAGAACATTTCCATCACCCAAATTTCCATATCTCTGTGAAAAAGACAAAGGCGTGCCTAATTGCCGAGGGCTGTGTTGGCACTGAAAGAGAGAGGCACCTTTTCTCCCTAAACCAGATTTTAATCTTCCCTGAATATAGTGTCCCGGGTTTCCTGGGTCTGAATCCGGTTTCCATTTCAGAGATTTTTTTGTTTTTTTTGGTAATCGAGACAAATCGTATTGGTGGTAATTTCCATACAGTTCTCAATACAAGATAAAGGGACATTTAGGTGTCGCTTATTCTCTTTCACCATCCATAAAAGAGACAAATTTAAAAATGCTCTTAAAACAGGATTTTGCCATTTCTCGAAAAGCTTTCCACCGTTTTCCCATCCCCCTCTCTGGCTCGCCTCAGCGACTATTAGCTCATCAGTTCTAATTGGTTGACAGCCCCGGATGGGGTTCGCTGATTGGGCAGTGATTCTCTTTGTTCGCTGGTAATGTGTAAATTCCTCACAATATTTTTTTCACTTATTTTTCTTTAATGAGTTGGAGTACCATTGCTCCCCTACCCATATCCAGTGAGAGCGGGGCAAGAGAAGCTAAGTGGGTAAAAATATACCATTCTTCTGCGGCTGCTGCTTGGGTATAAACAGACGTAGGACCGAATTTTGCGCTTGATCCCCGCAATCTTCCTTGTTCTCTGGGCTACATTACATTAACACACATTGAGCTGTTTGGCTCGGTAATATTACCACAGCTCTTCTTTTGAACATTTGGGCGGCCCTGAAAAGGGCCTTTGGTTCAGAAATGTACGCTGTGGCGAAATCAGAAACCTTAGCCGCCAAAGCCATAGAGGGTGCGTCCTTGGCGTTTAAGGGCGTAGACGACATCCATGGCTGTGACAGTCTTGCGCTTGGCGTGCTCCGTGTATGTTACAGCGTCCCGGATCACGTTCTCCAAGAAAACCTTGAGCACCCCACGAGTCTCCTCGTAAATCAGACCGGAGATACGCTTGACTCCGCCACGCCGGGCTAGGCGCCGGATGGCCGGCTTGGTGATGCCCTGGATGTTGTCACGTAACACCTTACGGTGACGCTTGGCACCTCCCTTACCCAAACCCTTCCCGCCCTTACCACGTCCAGACATGACTTCTCAAGAAGTGAACCAACAGCAAGTGAGAGCGAAAGGGAAAACCGATCCTTATATACCTACCTTTCCCTTACCGCCTCCCCGCCCCCGCCAACAAATGTAGAGAATCGAAAGCGCGCAGGCGGGAAATGTGACGCATACAGTCTTCTCTTAAGACCGCCTCCATGCACCAGGCAGTCGGGGGCGGGACCAAGACAGCTTGACCAATGGTTTTTGCTTACTTAACGAGCTACGTTGTTATGCTTGGAGGAACCAGGTTTAGAATTTAAATATAAATTCATTCTGATTCCAGATATTTTAAACACAATACTTTAAAAGGCCAAATCTTTTCTGTTCTTTACAGCTACAAATCTGAAATCTTGGTAATTGTAAAAATGTCAAGATCAGACAATTATAAAATGACAAGCCAGGTCCCCCTCCCCGTAGATTTGTTTTTTGACGTTCAACATTTTACCGGTTAACTAATCCCGTTTTGATAAAGCTTTTTGCACTATTTCTGTTCACGTCTTTTACAATTTGGCGTTCAAGCCGCCATATTTAATGCTCTAGAAAATCCTATCATGTATCCTCTGAAACGTTCAGTGGCGAACATCTAGGCGAAAGTAACCGGACAAAGTGTTGGCGGTACGTTTCAATTCATTTGCCAAGTGTATGGCTGACTTAATCATATTTGAATTGGAGACTACTGTTCGTTACAGCTACTTTACTTGAAAAAGTGGTGGCTCTGAAAAGAGCCTTTGGTTTAAGAATGAAAGAAAGCTACTATTATCACGCCCGCTCTCCGCGGATGCGGCGGGCAAGCTGGATGTCCTTTGGCATAATGGTGACGCGCTTGGCGTGGATGGCGCACAGATTGGTGTCCTCAAAAAGACCTACCAGGTAGGCTTCGCAGGCCTCCTGCAGCGCCATCACCGCCGAGCTCTGGAAACGCAGGTCGGTCTTGAAGTCCTGCGCAATTTCGCGCACCAGGCGCTGGAAAGGCAGCTTACGGATCAGCAGCTCAGTGGATTTCTGGTAGCGGCGGATCTCGCGCAGGGCCACGGTGCCAGGCCGGTAGCGATGGGGCTTTTTCACGCCACCGGTGGCCGGCGCGCTCTTACGAGCCGCCTTGGTAGCCAACTGCTTTCGGGGCGCTTTGCCACCAGTGGATTTGCGAGCGGTTTGCTTTGTGCGAGCCATAACAGGGAACACCTACAATGCGACACCAAGCAGTTGTGTAAATGGTTGCCGAAATCGTTGCTATTATTTATAGTAGGTTAAGTGTAATGATTGGAAGACCAGAGTTCAAACATGACGTATCAGGCTCTGATTGGTTTATTTTTAAAGTATGAACAAACGTGCAGTTTCATTGGCTACTACGTTCTAGCCGAAGCTCCTTTCGGAGTTTTTGTTTTTTCTTTTTTTTTTTTTGTTTAAGAGATGGGGAGTCTCGCTTTGTTCGCCAGGCTGGCCTAAACTCCTGAGCTCAGAGGATTCTGCGGCTTCAACCTCCGGAGTAGCTGGGATTACGGGCGTGTGCTGCTGCGTTCGGCTTGTATTTTTTTTTCATTTTAACTTTTGTCACCTTCTTCTACACCTGGTTTTCCTGACCAGAAAGCAATGTTTTGATTGAGCATGTTTGCCTTTTCCTAAAATTAGAGATATTAATGTTAATGGTATTGTAGTTCTCCACTTCTGCATAACCTTAAGGAAAAAAAATTGAGGGAATACTGCCCATTCTTTCCCTCAAAATGTATGCTCTACAGGTTTTGGTCATCTACTCGATACCGGGTTAGCAGTTTCTGAAACCTTTCACAAAAATGGGATTCCTTTGTTATGGTTTAAGGACCTTTATTGAAAGCTACAAAGCACAATCTCATATACAGTAAAATTATACTAGAGCTCACAGAAACAACTTTATTAAATGTTCATACTCTTGAATCCTACACCTGAAGCTTCCTGAAGCTGTTTTCTAAAGCCTTGGGAACACCGTCAGGCGCAAAATGGCTGTTCTGCAGCACCACCGCCAGCTACGACTGGTTTAGAATTGTTCCCCTTGTGCAGCTAGCGGTGGACGTGGCCCCAGAAAAACTGGAACCCGAACGGCAAAGAGCATAATTTAACCTTATCAAAAACAGAGAGGAGGGCGTAAAACCTCTCAAATAATTGAGATGGCGTGAATATGACCATTTTATACCAACGGGAGGTAGGCCAGATTCTACCTTTTGATTGGTGTAGTCCATTTTCTTGAGTAGCCATTAAAAATGCAGATCTAGCCATCCTTCATTTGCGAGGAGCAGCAACCATTATTTGATTGAGAAGCTGGTATTACAGGCTACTTCTCAATCAGATAATTCGGAGTAGTTCCCTTTTAAAAGTTGCGTTTGTTTAGATGCCTCGTTTATTACACTAAGAAAAGTTTGTATCTTTCAAAAAAAGGTTTTAATTACAAAAACTTTACAACTTTGTATACCTGTTTTATAATTCACTGGCCTTCAAACTAAGAAGCATAGTTTTGTTTCCAATTGTTCTTTACCAAGTTTATAGAAATTAAGTGAGACATTTGAAAACATAGCTTCTCAATAAAATGGGAAGTAGGAAAGACTGGCGGAGAAGATGAACACATTTAGGGCCTTTTTACACTGTAGTATTAGCACCTAGTTTGAAGGAAATGAAATTCTCAGGTTCCCCTAGCCCAGTGCGGACGTGTTTGAAAACTGCAAGAGTGCGCGCGGGAGATACTGCTTCCCTCTCGCGAGCGCTGGGCGGTTACCAAGAATTGGATTGTGGAAGTGGATGTCGGTTTAATGGCATTTTATTCTCCTGCTAGTTAAGTCTCTGGTTCGCAACGTGAAATCGTTTTTGCGTCTTGATGCTTTTAAGTGCTCTTTATAGCCACAGTTTAAAGAGTTGGTACCATAAAATCTTGCCTCTAGGGTATGTTCTCCCGTTTTCACACCAAGGGGACCTAAACCCCCAGCACAATGCCTGTCTGGGACCCGTTTCGTACACCTAGAGTTTATTTAACTCCTCTTTTAAGCTCAATTGTGAGCTCCATAAATCTTTGTTGAATTAGAAAATGAGCTGATCATGTCACGGTACGCTAATTGCATGTACTGACGTGGAACATAGGCTGTAATTGTTAAAGCCTATTTGGGGTATGTCGTATGGATAAAAGGGCATCGGAAATTCGTGAAGTTCATTGGACTGCGGAAATAAATTGCAATTGCAGAAATTGTCTGCATACTGTTTTCCACACGTGGTTCGTTAATTGTGGCCTTAGTGAATCATGGTGTTTTCTACGATTCGTTTTCCTTTGACCATGATACATAAAAGGTATTCTATTCACCAGATATGTTGCACTAACACGTTGCCAGGAATTGCAGTGGCATTGATGAGAACTTGTCCCAAATCTACAGACAAGGCCCGAAACCCTCGCTTTCCTCTCTCCCTCCCCAGATAGTCAAGACAATCTTTTACCTTTCTTCCCAATTAAAAATGAACATCTATGACAATTCGTCCTCTAGTAGTTTCTGGCAAAACTCCTTGAAATTCTATGTGGTTGCCTCATTTACAAACCGCTTCCCTTCATTCCATCCCTTCCCCAAAAAAGAGATATTTTTTGGAGAAGGAGGTAGCACCCTATAATGTTACTGGGCGGCAGAGCCTGCCTACAATTTCCGTCTCCGCGGGGGTGGTCTTTCGGGTGCGTTTGCCGGCTTGGAGGGACTGATGGACTTCAGGCCCTTAGAGGTCTCCACCCCCAGCCGGCTTCTGAGATACTGCAACGACCGCCGCGGCGCTGGGGGCGCTAGGGTACGAGGGGCGGGCATTGGCGAGCACCAATCACGGTGCAGCCCCGCCCTATAAATACGCTGCGCCGGGGCTTTTCTGCGTTTCCCTGCTTTGTCAGGTCTTACCAGATTGGTTTGTTTGCTTTTGCAGTCATCATGTCTGAGACGGCACCATCCGCTCCAGCTGCTTCCACTGCTCTTCAGAAGCCTTCAGCTGGCAAGAAAGCGAAGAAACCTGTGAAGCCTGTAGCACCCGCTAAGAAAAAAGCCATTGGTCTTTCCGTGTCGGAGCTGATCCTGCGGGCTGTTTCCTCGTCCAAGGAGCGCAGTGGCGTGTCCTTGGCTGCTCTCAAGAAGACGCTGGCAGCTGCTGGCTACGATGTGGAAAAGAACAACAGCCGTATCAAGCTGGGCCTTAAGAGCCTGGTGAGCAAGGGCACGTTGGTGCAGACTAAGGGCACCGGCGCCTCTGGCTCTTTCAAGCTCAACAAGAAAGCAGCTTCTGTGGAAGCCAAGGCTAGCACCTCAAGGGTGGCAGCAAAAACCAGGGCAACAGGTACCTCCAAGAAGCCCAAAAAGGCCACGGGGGCCGCCACTAAAAAGAGCGTCAAGACTCCGAAAAAGGCTAAAAAGCCTGTGGTAGCAAAAAAGCCCTCCAAGAGTCCTAAGAAGTCCAAAGCTGTGAAGCCCAAGAAAGTAACTAAGAGCCCTGCTAAGGCTGTAAAGCCCAAAGCAGCTAAGTTGAAAGTGACTAAGCCAAAGACTGTTGCCAAACCCAAGAAGGCAGCGCCCAAGAAAAAGTAAAAGTTCTGGTTGGAAGCTTCTTCCAGTGACGCAACGGCTCTTTTAAGAGCCACCTATGTATTTCAGGAAAAGAGCTCTACCACACATCAGACTTAAGTCCTCCAGCAAATGCAACAGCTTTCAAGCCAAGCTTTGCTCTGTATTAAAATCACGTTTTCATCTAGGTTGAGTTCCAGCTGATAACCAAGAAGAGAAAGCTCTTTTAGGTAACCTAAAGTGCAACTTATGGAGTTGCCCAGTAAATGTACAACTATTACCAAGAGAGTTTTAGATGCACCCGGAAATGCCACACCCAAGACTAATAGGTTGAATCCCTCACCCAGGCTTGAAGCATGTACCACGTGCTAATTGTCTACTCAAACTTTCCTTCGTGGCCTGCTCAAGTTCAAAGCGAGAATGTTGTGTTTTGGGGCTAATGTTGATTAAGCGGCTTTTTTCGAAGTTGGGTGGCCCTAAGAAATGCTTTTGGAGTAATTGGTAAAACCCTTGCCTTAATCACTCCCTGTTTCTGCAGCTGTGGCTAGCAAGCTGTTTTGTCTTTGAGAATGATGTTGACCCGCTGGCGTGGATGGCGCCTCGGTTGGTGTCTTCAAAGAGCCTCACCAGGTAGGCCTCACTCGCCTCCTGCAGCGCGATCCAAGTTTTTTACATAGCATAGCTCAATTAGTTGTAAAACTTTATTTTTGCATATGCACATGTAAGTTCTTTAATAAAATCAGTTGTATTTTTTTAAAGGTCTTTTTCCATCATTTTCCTTAGCTCCTTCCATCCTCTGAAGTCTTCGTTACAAGGCACCTCCTATCCCTGTCCCCCCACCCAACCCCCGCATTTGATACGTAGCTATCTATGTTTTCCTTTGAATTCAGTCTTTGATATACATCTGTCTAGACACATGCATAATTGTTTTATTTTTTGGTTAGAGTTGTTAATTTTTCACAAAAATACGGATTTCTGTATGTTGCTTTTCTCTTAACAAAACCTTTCAAGTCATGTTTTTAATGTCCTTCACACGGAGTAGCATAATTTATTCATCCATTTCCTATTGATGAGCTTCGATGATGTTTCCACACTGCTGAACGTGGTGCAATAAACAATAGAGTTCTAGAGCTGAGATTGCTAGGTTTTACAGTGTATTTTAAGTTTCAATAGGTGTTGACATATCTTGAAAACAGCTCACACTTCCAGATGTGTGAAATAGCTCTTCCTCCTCCATTCCAACTATCAAGGCGTGGTCTTTTAAATTTCTGCCAGGCTTACAGGTGTAAAATTATTTCACGTTGTCACGTTGATTTGCATTACCATAGCCACTACTGCATCCTTTTCTTTAGGTTTATTGGCCCCTTGAATATGTTCTCAGGGAATTGCTTGCTTATATTTCTTACTTTTTCTTTGGGCAGTTTCTTTCTCTTGACCCATGGTGTTTTTCATGTAATAGAGAAATGAACCTTATCACCTGTGTTGCTAATAGTTTTCTAATTTTGACATTTTTCTATATTTTCTTTATATTTTCATTTATATGTATATTCGATATATAAATCTTTAGTAAATGTTAGTATTAATTTTAATATTAATAATTTTAATATTAACAATGTTAAATCTTTTAGTCACAAATGTATCTTTTCTTTTATGGCTTCTAGGTTTCCAGTTTGGGTTAAGAAGCTGTACCGCACCCTTCTATTATTCTTGCAGTCTTCAAATTTTTGCTTTAAAAAAATTTTTAGTCTCTAATCCATCTAGAATCTATTTTATTTTGTTTAAGATAGAATCCAGGTTTACATTCTCCCACATTAATGGCCAGTTGTTCCAAAACCGTTTATTAAATAATACATTAATTTCCCCACTGAACTGAAATATGCCATTTTTTAAGTTCTTATAATGGGACCTATTTTTTTATTTTTTTCTACTGATTTTTCCATATAAACTATGTACTTTCTTAATTTTATTCCTAATTTATAGCTTATTTCTATTGCGAATAGAATATCCTTCTCATTCCATTTTTTTGGGTTTTACTGCTAGCAGAGAAGAAATGTGTTGATATCTTGTATCCAGCTAACTTACCAATTTCTGCAATTCTGGTTTTCTTTCTTTACCCTTTAAACTTGAACTCCTGGAGTTTTTCCTATTTGGCAGCAAAATAAATAATTTTATCATTGTTTTCCTCAATGTGAATACCAAGTATTTTACTTTATTTTTGTACTGCATTTGCTGCAAATCTCCAAAGTAAAGTTGAATAATAATTTTCGCAGGCATCCCTTTTTTGTTCTTGATTTTAATTAACATGGTCTTAAGTGTCTTTTAGGATAATATTTATTAAGTTTTAGTATCTGCATTATATTTAAGTGGTTTCCTTCTATTTTACTTTTAAAAATTTGAATGATTGCTAGATTTTCTTCATATATTGATATGATTTTAATTTATTCAGTGCTTTCTTAGATGCTAGGTCCTCAAACTCAGTGTGATTAAAAGACTAAACTAGAATGAGTATGTTTTTTAAGATGGTCATCTATAACAGAAGCAGGTGTGCAGTGATGGATTTAGGGGAAGGCAAATCAGAAATTGTGTTGTGGAGTTTGTAGAGCTTTAAGATTACCAAGTGGATGAGGAAATAATCAAGTGGGTCAAATGCTGCTGATAGATTAAAGTGAGAAGCAGCCTGAGAGTAGTCCCCTGGTTTTGCAGCATGGAAATCACTGGTGGTCTTAACAAAAGTAGTTTTGAGGAGGATGGAGTTGATTTGAAGTAGAGTGATAAATTTGAGAGTCATTGATGGTATACAGACGTTATTTAAAGCCATGAGATTGAGTGAAGCCACAAAGGGAGTGACTGAGGTAGGAAAGCATATAAAGAAAAGGGGAAAATGGCACTTAACTAAATTAGCCATAAAAAGAGTGGAGGGAGGTCTGACTTCTGAAATATCCAATATCAGGCTCGAGGGATACCTGGCCCTGACCATTTATCATGGATAAAGCTGAATAAATTATTCTACCTCTTTGTGCTTCCATTTGTTTATTTAAAAGTAAAGGGATTGGATTAGAGCATTGTTTTTTGTTTTCAGTTTTATGGGCTATTGGAAATAGAACATATTAGAGTGCCACCTTGTGAAAGTAAATATGACTTCCTAGAATTTAGGTTTCAAGCACTTATGTCGTTAGGCATATGTATGCATGTTCTGGATCATGAAGAATTGATTTCTTATTGGGCAGTCACAATCAAAACGGTTGAAAGTCAGTGGTTAAGATGTTCCCTGTGGTCTTTTCCAACTCCAAGAGTCTATTATATTAATTGATGTTCACAGAATTATATCAGAACTACATCCATATAAAAACAGACTTGGAATCAATCTCATATTATCGCAAAGATGTTCCTGAGTCAAGCAGGTGATAATGGTGATCTATAAATTCTGTTCTTTACTAATTGGTTTAATTGTCCCCTGGCTGTGAGCATTTTGAAAGGAAAGAAAAGAGAAAAAGGCAGAGAAAAGCACAGGAGATTAATGATTTCCAGGACAGACCGAAGATCAGTAGGGACTCCTTAAAGAGGTATAGACTACAAATAATGGGTTATTTAGTCATACAATAATCACATATAGATGGCAGAAAGAGATGGGGTGGGGGGATCCTCTCATCTTGATACTACAGGTTTTATTGTGTCTTATGTGGCCAAAGTAGAAGAGAGAAGGAAAATATGTTCTTTTCCTTATAATATAGTTTTCACCACTTTAACAATGTGCACATGTAAATATAAATTAGAAAAAGATATTAATCTGTGTATAAAAAAAGAACTAGATTAAAACAGAAGTATTAACTGCTAAATAATTATTTAGTAAAATGGTGGCCTTACAGCTACCCATAGTATTCTATTGTATGTATGTTCCAGTTTATTTAACCAGTCACCTGTTGCTGGATTTTTGATAATTTATTTAACAAAAATTACATAGTCATTTTCAAGTATTTCTCAAATAGGTTCCCAGAAGTGGGATTTCTATATTGAAAGGTGAAAAGTGACATTGGAAATCTTAGGTATTTGTTTTTCATATTGTAACCTAAGGACCAAATGTTAATAGACCTCAACTGTCATTGTTCATATTTTTTATATTTTATTTTCTAATAGATGATATATTGGTTCAAAAATTAAAATTACATGAAAACTTACACACTGATAAGTTCCACACCTCATCCTACTCACACACTTTACCTTCCAGTGTTTCTTTATGCAAAATCTATGCATATACAAACAAAATATATGCATATACTTTTCTTTCCCTCCCTTTCAGAGGATAATGCATACACATTCTATACCATTTTCCACTTAGCAATCTTAGAGCTGTGTCCACAGGACACAGAGGTCTCCCTCATTTCTTTCCACAAGTACATAATACAATGTATGAAGAAACAATGGTTTATTCTGGTTCCAGAATATCTGTACATATTAGAGAGATTAGCCCTTTGTAATATGAGCTGCAAAATATTTTTTTCCCAGATGACATTCATCTCCTAACTTTGCTTATGATGAATTTTGCTATGCCATCTTTTTATTTTTATGTAACTGAGTTTATCAATATTTTTTCATGCCTTTTGAGTAATAATTAGAAAGGCCTTTCCCACTCTAAGAATCAAAAGACTTCACCTATATTTTCTTTGAAGACTTTTGGGTGGGTTTTTTTTTTATATTTACATCCTGATCTATTTAGAGTTCATCCTAGTATATGTTTTACAAATGGCTATCTAGTCGTCTCAAGACTATTTATATTTAAAGTCCATCATTACCCCCAATGATTATAAATGCTGCCTTTATTACTTGTCTGTTTCTGGACTTTGTCTCCTTTGCATCAGGCTTTCTGTTCAAGCACCAGTATAACACAGTTTTGAGGATGATCCTATATAAAATGTGGTAAAGACTGTCTACCCTTACTGTTTGTATTTTAGAGCAATTGTGGATTCTGTTATCGTACGGAGCTCGAGAAAGACCACCTTGAGGCCAAATGAGCCAAATTGTGAGTC